TGGTCGATAATACAAATGAGAGAATCAAAGTTTCTCAACTGATTTAATAGCACGCCCAACGTTACACAAGCTCCTCACCCTTGTATGACTTTTAAAGATTAATTCTCTTCGTTTTGATTATGGAAGGAACGACCACAAGGTGTTCGACACAATAGGTTAGAGTAGAATATAACTAACAATGACGATGCGATCATCATTCCACGGGATCTTTCTTAGCATATAACGAGAGATCGATGTTCTAGCCTTCCGTTTCTTAGTCGGTTGAATATCATCACGTGCCTACAATCCTAATGGAATTTTTATATTCCGACATCGAATTTATGGGTGCATTCCTTTCATTCCTTTCGATCAAGGGGTCAATGAGGTGCCATATAATTAATATGCACGTGAACGAATACGAATGCATGCAAACGTTGGGTAAACATATCACGAACATCGGAAGGGGTAAACATAAACAGGTAACGCAATAGCATAAAAACATTGAGCAAGTCCACTAAACCTTCATTGAGGATAAAGAAATCTAGGGAACGTGCCGACTGGTTAAATTTTTCTGTTACAGATTTATATCAAACCAGGACTAGGTAATTAATGAAAACGTGAAGGTTTGATGTTTACCTAATAACAATTACATACAGTACATATGTTTTGTGATCCAATTACGGAATACAGCAATGTGATTCAACACACTCGGCATAATGTAATCATATTGGGGATTGTCATTTAGGCCATTTAGATACACGACAAAAGGTATCGACGTCATCATCTTTTGTAGAAGGTTACGCGCTTTGCGTCAGCTTATTTATTATTAAATTTTTTTTTTTTTCTTAGAGTAGGATTATTTCGATTTTTTTTGTGGTTTTTTTTTTTTTTTTTTTTTAAAGATCGAATCATTTTACAAATTATGTTGCAAGTAAATACAAAGATCCGAACATGTTGTATCCATGTTCAAGACCTGCGATAAAAGTAAAAGAATGAAGTTCAGCTGGATGAGGAAACATTAACAAGATGGCAATTATGAAGGGGTTGGTGATTTACAAATTTCCGAAAACTAGTTTCGAGAAGGAAAATGTACAATATATATAAACAAATTACCACATCTTTCCTTGAAACAAAAATATTGAATGAATGAATGAATGAATGAATGGTTGATTGATTGATTGATTGAATGAAAAGGAAAGAGTGAAGGAAAAGAAAGGAAAGGAAAGGGAAAAAAAAAAAAAGGGAATTAAAGGTGTTTGTAAGGAATGTGTGAAATTTTCAGCAAATTCAATGTTCGCTAATGGAAAAATTCACTGGATATTTACAAAAAAAAATCTAATTCTAACTCAAGAAAGAAAAAAATTTCTATTCGAATGTATAACATATTTAATCCTGGGCTGCCTTTTGCGCCCAGAATCTGTAAACCTTTGTCGAAGCGTTGTACTGGTTAAATTCTTCTCGACAACCTTTCCAGATTTTCAAGTATTCCTCCTTTGACATCTCCATGTATCGTGGTAAAATATCGGCGACGGTGTTGGAAAAGTACATGTTGAGTAAATCTTCGTAAATAACACCCGTCTTCCCGCCCAATTTTCCCACAGGAATGCACCTGTAGTCAGACCTGACGTTGGTGAGGGATATCGAGGAATGATTGAATGAAGGGTTCAGAGTTACCAAGGTGGATGATGGATATAAATCGTGAACGGATGTTGTCAAGAGGCTATGCGAAGAGGTTGAACAATTGGTGGAGAATGAACTCGCCCGACTCGACGTGGTGGAAGGAGGCGTCGATATCGTCGAGGAAAGCAGCGACTCGAGGCGCTGTGTGATGTATACATTTGCACCCGTTGATGTTACAAAATTATTCACTATTAAGGGAAGGAAGGAATTAGAAGAGGTGAGAAAAAAAAAAAATCTACACATAACGATATATATGTACAATATATGATACGTACGATAAGAGTTCAATCGAGAAAATTTGGGTCCGGCGCGATGATATGTCATCTCAGGTTCCATTAGTTCGATGTATCCCCCGGGTTTGAGCACGCGCACCAATTCTCTTAGCAGGGAATCCCATTGATCATCTTTGAGGCACAAAGCCATCATGGACATTCTCACAAAATCAAAGTAATTATCGGCATACGGTATTCCGTTGTTGACATCATGCTTGAGGAACTCCAGGTTCGTGGGCTTTATCTCGGATGGGAATGCCTTCACAATGTCGATTCCGACAAATTGCGTCGAGGGATAAATCGTCGCCAATTCCAGTGACCACGCGGCGGGACCGCAACTTTAAGAAGAAGGGAAGGTCGTTAAGGAAAGAACCGTCGCGACAAAATCATGAAACGAAAGAGAATACAAACGATTGACACTTACCCAACGTCCAAAACTCGACCATTACCCGTCTTTAGAAGTTGTTCGATCGGTGACGAAAAGTGCGTACCCCAGACGTGATTCATCAGGAAATGCATGAACTGCATCCTGTCGAGGTCATCGGAATTTTTTGGCAAATGAAAATATTGAGCGTAGGTATCGGTTCGAGAAGATTCGCCAGGCTCCGAGGTTATCTGCGACCTCTTGGAGTTGAGCCTGCGACTGGATTTCGATTTCTTGGGGGTCTGCTTTCGTGAGGAATTCGAGTTGCCCATTGTGCAATGTCTGAATACGCGGGTATCGGTTGAGAAGGTCGTTTGTTGCGCACGGTCGTTTAAAAGATCAACGTTTCAACAAAGATGAGGAGCAAAAGAGATGCGGTTGTTACGAGAAGTGATATCACAAATCAATTGTGGTAAGTAAGTAAGCAGGCAGGCGAGTGCCAACTAATGACGCTAATAGTAAAAGTACGTTTAATGAAATTTGATTAAAGGTAGTTATGCAATTAATGGTCCTCTCTCTTAATAAAGAGGTTGGTTGATTAATATTTTATAAGAGAGATTAAAAATTTAGTTCGTAATTATAATAATAATTTTTTTTTTCAAAGAGAAATGTCAGAAATGATTTCACCCGCGGGTATATATACTAATTTTGGATGATGCACCGATGCACGACTCTGTTTTCCTGTACCACCTCACTCTATTGATGCGATACCCCAAAACCCTTTTTTTTAAGGGTCTTCGTATAAGAGCGTAATACAATTGAGACAGCCTTGATATTATTATATCTCTGCTGATCATACTGTATTATATACGATCAATTAATCAATCAAATTCGGTGGTCTAATATAGCGTATATACGGTATGTAATGTATGTGTATAAATAGCACGTATTTGATATCATCACCGAGGGGAGGAGGAGCAATTCCACCGAATACATTGGAACGCCAGCCAATACGACAATACATCACATACATCAATGCGGGCGATGTCCAACTATCCAAGTAAGCTTCCGGACCTATGCGTGTCCCCGCTCGAGATGCTTTGAAGATTTTCACGGTGACCGATGGGTCTTACCGACGCATCCGTTGCCATACCGAGGATAACAGTACGCATATATACGATGCCTACGCATATTCGGTGTATTCAACAGGTTTTACCCGTATACCTTAATCGAGTGGATACATCCTGTATACCTTTTTTGAATATCTTATTTCAATGTACCTTTTGCTTGAACGACTTGTTTATTTGGAGAAAAGAAAACACAAAGCATGTACCTTTTTTTTCACCAAAATTGCATTCGCTTGATATTATACGCATTTCTTAACATTGTCCTATGTACAGTATTGACGCCGCCTCATATTAGGCATCTTGTGGTGGTGTCAAATCATTGGTCAATCACAGGAGCTCCGACAAATTTTTTGCTGGTGACATCTGTCACAATAATATTTCCTTTGACAATTTTTCTTCAGTTCAAAGTGGATTGTTGTTTACGAAATTTCGAGACAATGTTGTAAATTAAATGCGGTGAAACATGGTTCAATTAGATGCTTGTTGTAACACGGTGGCGTAATTAAGTTTATGAAAAAATGACTGTTTAAACGAATTCCCGCGCATTACAGATTGATTTCACACGTAACCAAGAACGACTAATGCTAACTAATGCTAGTAATGTCACATCCTCCCTTTTATTAAGGTAGTGTAATGACAACAGGACGGCGAGAGACGTGATTGCTCATTGTGTTACATTGCCGTGTCTCGAGAAAAGCAGTTCATATGAAATGAAATAAAATGACATTATCAAATCATAAATCTGGGTACCACGTTTCATCGTGTTTGACTGTGCCGAACAAATATCCCGACAAATAAAAGTCGCTCAAATTTCCTTTTACTCTATTCGCTGTCAGCAATTTTAAGCTTAGCTCACAAAATTTACCTGACACTACATGCGCATTATTGATGTTTGGCCACTCAACTTTTTTCAAAAGGACATATCGAGGATCAATAATAAGAACTTGAATTCAATGATTTGACAGCAGAGTGAGTGGAATTATTGATCTTTACCCAATTGAGCATCAATGGAAAAAAAAATAATGGACAATTTGTGATTTATCACAAAGTTCTCTCTTTCTTCATTTCATTCCTCATCATCAAACTAAGCTCACAGTGAACCGATTTTCCAAATAAATCTTTTTGACGGTTTCACCTTATCCCTCGTCACCTACATACGTAATGTTTAGGTTCCTTGTTCATTGAAAGATTTCGATTGCGCACATGCGCCGTTGACGTTTTACTATTTCATTGACCCTAATTGAAAAGAGACAACGAGAAAGCAAAAAGTCAAACATCTAATATGCATGCCATATGATCAACCTTCATTTGTGAAACCATCTGTTTTTATGTTTTGTTTTTTTCTTAACTGTGGCCTTTGTACAAAGTTGCCTTTTTTGAATTACAGATCGAGTCCACAATGGTCGCCGATCCTTCTCTTGTCACAAGGATACTATGGATTTTTTGGACAAAGAAGTTTCCATTTTTGTCAGATAAGACTTGACGCTTTCTCTGCTGTCATTTCTTAACTCCCGTCAGCGAATCGGTGAGAAGCGAAAGCGAGGATGAGCATGAAACAAAAAGGGTTGTACAAAAACTCTGGAAAAAAACATACCCTCATGCAAAAAGGGTGATTTGGAGATTAGATTTTTCTATCCAGCATACTATCTCGAACCATTACACTTGTGCCTAGCGTAACATAACCTTAATTTTGCTATCAGCAACTCTCAATGAATCGCACACAAAGAACAACGTATGACCCCATCGGTTTTTTTTTTTCCATTTTTTTTTGTAACATCAAGGGGTATCATATCGCGATGCCATTGTCAGGTGCGTAAGCATATTACTGTATCTTTATGTTTTGCTATTACATAAGCACATTAGCATCTATGATCAACTTGTAATTTTTAATACTATGATCCATAGGACAAATATACAATGGAATGAGATATTTCGTTTTATGATACCATTCGCTCTTGGAAATCGACGCCTCTTGTGTGTACCTCGCTTATCCCGCGAGATATTTCGAGAGAAATGATCGTCGTCGAATTACCGTACGTATACTGTATCTAGTATTAGTCGATGATAGAGTATTATTGTGTGTCATGAGTTTATTGTTTGAATGGTTATTGTAATTGTGAGAAACTTGGAATAATAACCTTTGATGCATAAATGAATGAATGAACGAAGCTGGCTATTGCGCAAGGTGTCAATCCATCCCAGTGGGAGGCACCGCATTAACGGTAACACCGTTTCACCTGCTCAAAAATCATGACCTCAGAAATCTCAATAATTACGCACTGCGATTTGCATATGTCGGGAAAAATCACAATGAGAGGTGAGCCTGCATATTATATCTACTTGCGTATTATCAAACTTAAGAACGTCAAGTTTATTGTCAGTGCTTAAACCAATCAACAATACTTTCTTTTACAAACAATAGAACAATAGAAGTGGGATGTGCCTTGCATTATTATTTTCTTTTGTGCCCGAGAGTGTATTTTTTATTTCCACTTGATTCTTTCAAAAAAAACAATAGTAGTTTTTATGGTTAGCCCGAACCATTATCTCGGCAAGTCGTTGATTGTCCAAGAGGTAAAAATAACCTGCCTATTAATAGAAAACGAATTCGAGATCTACGCAAGTATAATCATCATTATTGTTGAACATCGAACATGCACTTTATCATACTTGGTTATGATAGCAGGTGTTCAAGATGTACGCAAGGCATTAAAATTATTTTATACTATAATAATTTAGGATTCGTGGGAACAAAGTTTTTCCTCCTTTGGTGACAAAAAAATAGGTGGTTATCCTTATGGGGAATTTTTAAATGAGACTTGGAAAATACTTCAAATCCTGGGATGCGCATTCTTAGAATCGCTACCTAGTGTTTCGTCATTTTATGAGATTCTATTGTTTCATAGAATTTTGTACATCAGGTTTAAGTTTTGAATAGGTTTATCCGATTATTGTGTATGAACAAATCTTACGATTATCTCATTCCATGGTAAAAAAAACTTTCCCACTACAATATTATACCCGGAAAAATCTCAAGGAACAAACGAAACACCTCCTTGATTGTTGATTCTGACAGGCTGACATTAGGAATTTGACCTCTTTTGTCGAATGATATTGTACCTGATTACCGCACAGGCAAACGAAATATGAGGTCCCAAGAGATGACCCCGGAAATGTTCATTTGTCCATGACTTTTGTGTTACCTTCCGACCATGCTTACGTAGACTGTGCTACCCGGATGACGAATACGCATACTGTATTCCGAAAAATCATATTGATAATAAAAATTGATGATGGATGTGAACTTTATAGAACCGAAGGATGATCTCAACTTTGAACCATCCCATTCTTGCGAAGCTAATTTGGATGCTATATTTCTTGTTCAAGAACGAAAGATATCAAGATTATCGTATAATCAATAAATCACATGGCACAATGCACGCAAAAATAAACTCAATTTTGAGATAACCTTAACCCCGGCTGGGTCAAGTTTGTAACACGCAATTTAAACATCGTTACATAAATGTTCGCGAAAAGAAACTTTATACGAAATATGAAATCCCTATCAGGATGTTTATTAGTGTTCATTCTGATAAAATAAAAACGTGTAAAGTTTCTGAAATAAGGTTGCAATTCAAATTAGATAAACAAATAATGAATAAGCGAATGAACCAGTGAAACGAATGAATGGACAAACTAACACTGATCATCTTATCTGAAAGATGCTATCTCGTCCTCGAACCAATCCACTTGGCTCAAGAACATGTTATTTTTTCGATTTGAGTGTATATCAATAAAAAAGCACATTTAAAATTATTAAAAATACATAACTTTAAAAAAAAAAAATTGATAAACAAACAATTTAGAGAAAATGTTTTTTTTTTATAAAAAATAATCTAATGGAATGATAAGAGCTTAAACGATTTTACTAAAAATACTGTAATATCGATTCTCTTAAAATCATAATGATGATAATAACACGTGTATACACCATTCGTTACAATGTCTTTGACCAATGTCTTGTAATATAATTCATTATGCAATTATACCAGTTTTATCAATAGGTGATCAATAAAATGTGAACTTGCTGCAAAAAAAAAACCCCCCGTTAAGGTTATTTGATATACAAGTTTGTTAAGTGGAATATCAATATGATAATTTAAAGTTTTTTTATAATATAATTAAAAAATGTCTAAATACTCGTG